GGGGGGTGGGCTTTGAGGTTTCAGAGACTCATTCCATTTAGTTCTCTATCGCTGGCTTGTTATTTGAGCTCTTTGGCGCTGCCGTAGCTGCCTGCTACCTCTGCTCTGTCATCATGGACTAAGACAGATGTTTTCTTTATTCTTCAGATGAATAAAATGTCAAAGCTTCTATCTTAACATTAATGTGTCCACACTTCATAGTGAAGCCCTTTTATTCTTTGTCCTTGTAGATAAAGGATGTATTTCTCTTGAGTCCTCACTACTTTCTTTTTTTCTCCTTCCTTTCTTCCTTCCTCTCTTTCTTTTTTTGAGACAGTATCCCATGCTGTCCTGGAACTCAAAATCCTCTTGTCTTAGCCTCTCAAGTGGCTGAGGTTACAGCCATATCTGTCCTTTGTTCCTTTTAATGTTAGATATTTGTTTATTGTGTGTTGGGCATTTTTGCTGAGCACTTCTCATCTGCTGTCTCATTATTGAACCTGGCTAGCAGTGTTATAAAATAATTGATACTTTGCTCAGGAGGCTAGAGAAGAAAGGGGAGGCTCAAAGAAGCCTCCAGGAGTTACAACCATCTGAAAGAGGTTTCATACCAGGTTTGTTTCCTCAGATACTGAAGTTTATGAGATCATTTTGCTTCTGTTCTACCTATTTGAAATTTGAGGCTGCATCGAACACTTGTACATGCTAGACGTTTGCAGAAGAGAACTTATCAGATAAGACACATTTATGCTGTATATTATGTTACATGTAATTCTGTGTTTTAGCAAAATGTCACTAGAAAAGTGGGAATCTAATAGACACACTGAACGCCAATAAAGGAGTATGGTTTTAACTTCCTAATTGTACTGCAGGTGTATCGGACATTAATAGCATCTGTAACCAGGGTCCCAATGACAAAGTCTCATATGATGGCACTGCTCCTTAAGCCTGGTAGCAGAATACAGTTTTGTTGCAGAGGCTGTGATATTCATTCATTCTGTAACTTCCAGTGAGGAATGGGTGGCCAGGTCTCCCAAGCCATCAGTTATCTGTACATTATATCATTATATTCTGTGTTTCTGAAATTCTCTCAGTGGTTGATCCTGCCTATCTATGGGAAAAAAGAAGAGAAGGGCTCTTGTGTGGAAACAAAATTAAGAGGTCATGAGCATTCCTTTTCTTTTTCTTTTTTTTTTTTTTTTTTTTTTTTTTTGTCCTAGTATTAAGCATGCTCCAAAATCCGCTGGGAAATGTTCTAGGAAAACCCCCCTTGAGCTTCCTGTCTCTGGATCCCATTGGGTCTGACTTGGACAAGTTCCCAGCACCCTCAGTTAGAGGATCTCGCCTGGACACCCGGCCCATCTTGGACTCCCGTTCTAGCAGCCCCTCTGACTCAGACACAAGTGGCTTCAGCTCTGGATCAGACCATCTTTCAGATTTGATTGTATGTAACATGCGTGGGGGTGGGGGCGGGGGCATTGTGGAGGTGGAGTTGTCTGTGTGTCCTAGGGGAAAGATGTTGCAGTATCTGTCTTAGCGCATGAAATGGTTGCCTGCCCACTAGGATGCAGGCAAGAGGGGAGATCATCAGGCACCTCTATATAACTGTTCATTCTTAGCAAACTCAAGGACACTTTGAACGTCTGTGAGCAATACACTTTACTTTTACCTGTTACTGCAAGAGCTCTGAGAGAGCAGTTGATTTCAGAGTAAGTATGAACATCTTGTCAGTGCTGTTTCCTGAAGTATGTGGACGGTTTCTTTTTAGCCTTGAGACAATAGTATTTATATACTTCTGTGTTTAATGTCCCAAAATTCATAGTGGTATTTTAATAAATGACCTTAATAAGTCATAATTAATTATTAACACTATAATTTTAATCCAGATTTGACTCCATATTTTGTACTTTGCACTGACCCAGCCAGCTCACAGTCTGAAACTATCATGAATTTTATATATCCTATGTTCCTTACCTACAGCCAAGTGTGACATGTACAGACTCCATGTTAATTAGAGTTAGGAAATGGATTGGGCTGGGTGGGGAGGATAGTATAAATAGTATATATAGGATAGCATAGACAGTACAGTTAGAGAGTAGAAGTAATTACATGTGAGTCTTGAAGGGGAATGAGGCAATTTCCTGGAATAAGATACAGTTGAAGGTGCCATCTCAGCCTTGTTTTTCAGTTATCAAATGTCCTGAGCTAAATGTTCCATGAATAGGAGGACTCATTTCTCATCTTCTCATCTTTGTGGTTACCCATACATGGCTTTTTAAACCCACCATATCTTATTTTTCTACCTGTCCTGGACAGTGAAAGCTGGCATTAGTATTCTTGTTGCCCACTCATTTAACTGTCCAGACTAGTTTCTAGAATGACCACTACAATCAGGTCCTTTACTTCTCTGGACTTGAGGTTACACCCTTTAAGATGGGTTCACAAGGAATTTGTTCTGTTTCATTACTTAGATAGAATTGATCTTGGGAATTTACCTCATGCCTCACAAACACAGCGTTCTCAGATAGCCTACCTAAAGATTAATTTGGAAGGAGACAAAGCTAACACAAAAGAGGAAATGAAACAGTTTTTATATTTACAGAAAATATTCTATCAACAAATTTTAATAATACATTATTTTGACATTTAGAATTTCAAGCTTGAATACAATTATATAGTGTAGCATGTTCAAATACATTTCTAAAAGAACATAGAGTGTCAGGAGAAAAAGTTGTTGAGCGATAGGGAACTGGATCAGTAGGACATAGCTGCTCTCCTGAATAAAATGTGATAAATTTATTAAAATTGCTATTTAAAACTTCAGCAAAAAAAAATCTGTGGAGAGACAGAATTTATTTTAATTATAATATAATCTATAACTAATATTAAAATGGAATAGGAAGACTGACTGAAAGGAGATAATATCAAATTACAAATGTTATGCTAGATACTTTTCATATTTCTGCTATGTGATTATTACTTTTTAACAAAACTGTCTTTTAAAACTTGTGTCTTCCTTTTTCCTCCTCTAGTCAAGCCTTCGCATTTCCCCTCCTCTGCCCTTCCTTTCTATGCCGGGAAATGGCCCCAGAGACCCTCTAAAGATGGGAGTTGGGTCCCGAATGGAACAAGAACAAGCCGCTCTTGCTGCTGTTACTCCCTCTCCAACCAGCGCTTCAAAGAGATGGCCAGGAGCTTCTGTATGGCCATCCTGGGACCTTCTCGGAGCTCCTAAAGACCCTTTCAGCATAGAGAGAGAGGCTAGGCTACACCGGCAGGCTGCAGGTGAGTGTGGTCTGGCTTTGGCTATGTGTGAGGTCTGAGAGCTCTTTCTGAAAACAGGACTGACCTTTGTTCACACAATGGTGAACTCTTCTGGAACAGGGTTTGATAATATGGTAAAGTTCCAGGTTAGAGAGAACCATGTGTTCTGTAGAATAAGGAACAACCTTGAGACTGAGTTGAAAGAGGCTGATAGCCCAGCACATAGGCTGTGCCACAGCAGAAGATGGCTGGCACCATCACTTACTCTGTGGGCTTCTGTGAAAATTGGCTGTGCACTGCCCTTCCTTTTGCCATGAAAAAGACAAAATATTGAAAAGGATGCCTACAATTTGGTCTGCCTTCCCTATTTCTAATTCAGTCATTTTCTGGCTTTCTGTCCTGAGATTTTCTGATTGGTATATTCAGGATAGGCAGTCCAGTTAACCTCTAAGATATATATCTGTATCTATATTACATAGATATATATGATGTCATCAGGTACTCTCATCTCTTTGAAGTCCTTTAGTTTTTGTCATTTAAATAATCTTATGTGCAAGCTAGAGAGATTGCTCAGTGGTTAAGAACACTGGCTGTTCTTCCAGAGGACCTGCGTCCAGTTCCTGCCACATGTGTGGCACCTTATGACTGTCTGTAGCTGCAGTTCCAAGGGATCCAAATCCTATTTTGGCCTCTAGGTGTGCACACAGTGCACAGACATTTGTGCAGGCAAGACACTTATATACATAAAATAAAAATAAATCTTAAAAATTGTTTTAATAGTCTTGTCTTTTTTCTTTCTGGCTTTTGGGACAGGGTCTCTCTACATAGCCCTGGCTGTTCTGGACCTCACTGTAGACCAGGCTGGCCCTGACCTTAAAGATCTTGCCTCTAAGTTCACCTGCCTCTGCCTCCTGAGTGCTGTGATTAGAGGTATGTGCCACCATGTCCAGGTGCATAATCTTAGGAATATATTAAATCTGTTTTTCACATTACACCTGAGCTTGGAAGAAAATGAGTTACTTATATCATTAACTACTAATGTCTCAATTGCTTTTCCCCCAAGTCATGGTTCTTCAGTTTGGGACCTAGTTGAATAAACATTATTTCTCTGTTGCATGTGTTTGCATAGAACTCATCCCCATCTCATTCTCTTCTAACAGTGCAAATACCCTATTTATCTAGTGATTCTGATAGCCCATGTTTGTGCTTATTAACATGCCTGTTGTCCGGGATGCTTTCTGGAGGCTGTGTGTTTTCACGTGAAGTACTGCCAGCAGGGCTCAGTTTCTTACCACAGCAGCGTATTAGCCCTGTGCATGTTAGGGAATTGGCTTAGTATCCAGGATGGAATAATGTCTCATCTCCTTGAATGTCTTCCTCAGCGCTGAAAGAAAGAGTAAAGTGTTGAGTAACCAGTCCTCACCCAGGTCACCTTCCAATGTGAAAAGCTTGAACTGACCACCAGAACAGACCTCTGGAAATTAGCAGGACAAGCCAGTCTGAAGAGCGAACTTTTCAAGCATACACAGCAGAGAGGGCCTCTTGACATATTTGGCTTTGACATAAGTAGGAAGCTGAGGGTTTGGGCAGAAGTCGGTCATCATACAGTGTGGGCAGTAGGGAAACTCGGTGCCTGCTTGGGTGCTTGTGAGTGGGGTTATGCAGCACGGTGATGTTCTTATTCTATTGAGTTGTGTTTTCTATTGACAGTGTCCTGACTTCTGTGGTTGAATTCAGAGATAGGGTAGAGTGTTCCTTTAAATCAGGGAGAAAGTCTACTGGGGTCAGAAACTTGTAGGGCATTGAATATAAAATTGTTCTACTATTAAATATTTATCAATCTCTACTTAGTGCGGTAAACAATAGCAAGATAAAATTGCTCTGATGATAGTTAATCAGTTATATAGTTCAAATAGCTTGAGTTGTGATATTTTTTCCCTTTATATATGGTATTCCTTTAAATTTTATTGGAGGCACAGCTGATGAGGTAGGATTATCAAACTTACCTTACCTTAAATATTTGAGGAGACATAAAGTGTTCTGTCTTTTAGAATAATCATAGATAGTCGTCTTCCAGGTAGCCAGGTTGGAATTGTGAATGCTTTATCTTCCCAGCATCTCTGTTTAAGAATAGGATAGTGACTTTGTTGATTGTCTGAACCCTTGTTTTTTCTTTGTCTCCTGCCAAAGCTGTAAATGAAGCTACCTGTACCTGGAGTGGCCAGCTTCCTCCCCGGAACTATAAGAACCCCATCTACTCATGCAAGGTGTTCCTAGGAGGTGTTCCTTGGGACATTACGGAAGGTGAGCTGCCTCTGAGATCTCTTACAAGAGTTGAAGGTGGGGCATATCTTTCAGGAGTGTGAACCCTAGGCTCCAGTTGAGGGCCTGAACCTCTGCCTCAGCACAAGGTGTTACAGAAAGAGCTGAGGGGAGAGTGTACTTCACAAGCTTTTGTAGTGCTGCTGTATGTCTGCTTACACATGAGACCAGAAGTCAGTTCTGAGTTGTTTTTCAGGAGCAGTGAACCTTGGGAGGAGTACTGGTGATCCTGTGTTTGTCTTTCCTGAGTAGACTGTGTCTCGGTTTCTGTTGTTCTTCCCCATCTGTGCAGCTGGATTGGTTAACACCTTCCGTGTTTTTGGCTCTCTGAGTGTGGAGTGGCCTGGTAAGGATGGCAAGCACCCCCGGTGTCCTCCCAAAGGTAATATGCCTAAAGGTAATAAAGACATGGTAGGAATTTTTTTCCCTCCCTTACATGTTCTGCACCACGTGGTGCTGGGCTGTCACAGACGCATGCTGATCATGTAGGCACTCCAGGGTAAAGTCAGCATGCCCTCTTCTATTTGCACACTTCTTTGTCCATCTGTCCAAACTTGCAGTGCTGTGTGGATTTGCTATCAGACCCCTGCCTGAGCACCTCCCTCCAAACCTAAACCCCATCAGTGCCTTCCTTCCCTCTTGAATAAGGTGTTCACTTCAAGAGTGTTCCTTTGCCTGCCTTGGCTGCCTCAGAGGTTGTTGTCTGTCCCAGTTCTGAGATTCCCTATGGAGTTTGCAGAAATGAGGACCGAGTATCTGATTCCTCACTGGTCTAAAATGAGATCCTGCTGTGGAGAAAGGAGCAGGTGCTATTTTCACTCAGCTCCATCTTCATTGAACTTTAACCAGTGGTTTAATGAGGCTTTTAAAGCAAACCTGCATCCCCTGGCAAAGTGACCACACCTGCTGTTCTTGCTGGCTCTGCTGACCTGAGCATGCTCAGTGTTCGGGGGTAGAAAGCTATGTGGTAGGGGGTGGGGTCTTCTGTCCCAGTCTGATAGTTCCTTCTTTTAGTGAAATATGATGCACATCAATCTCCCTTAGCATGACATAAGGCATTGTAAGTGATCTGACAAACCTTTTCAGGAGTAGATGTACTTTGGGGTAAGGGAGTCAGTTCAATGATGGAGTTCTTGCCTAGCATGCACAAGAGTATAGGTTCAGTCCAGCACCTACCCTGCAAAAAATGTCTTGCACTTGAGGCTTTCTCCCTTAGAAGAAACCCCCTGCTCAAAGCCATAGCTCTACAGCCACCCCAGAGGATGTAAATTTCTACCTAAGAGATAATTAAGGCATCCTTTTCTTTTGTTGAGTATAGGGTATGTGTATTTGGTGTTTGAACTAGAGAAGTCTGTGAGGGCCTTGCTTCAGGCTTGTTCTCATGATCCATTGAGCCCAGATGGCCTGAGTGAATATTATTTCAAGATGTCCAGCCGAAGGATGCGCTGCAAAGAGGTGAGTTAGCTTGGTGTCCTATATTAGTTACTTTCTGTTGCTCTTTTAATCAGTCTCCTCAAATTGGTGCTGCTGGATAGAGTTTTGCCAACCACTTGTTTTGGAGTTCAGGAATCAGTTTAGTGGTGTTTTTATTAGACTGATTCCAAAGAACATTACTTTTGTGACATAAAACTATTGTAAATTTTTATTGCTCATCTGTAAGACAGGAAGCTAAAAATACCTCTAATTAAAAAGATCAGTGCTTTCCAGGGGAGGGAGACATGACTAGGTAAAGCAAAAGGGATTTGGGGGGGCTCTGAGATGACACTCAGCTACTATTGCAGTGTCATAAAAGTCAGCACACATTTCCTCCAGCAGTAATGTACGGCAAACATGAAGAAAACCTAGTGTAAACTGTGGTCTTGAGGTGAAGATAATTGTCAGTGTGGGGTCCTTGGCTGAACAAATGGTATTTCTGGTGCTGAATGTTACTAGTTGAGGACACACGTGTGTGTCACGGGGAATATGTGGGAAATGTCTGTTCTTCTGTGTAGTTTACTGTGAACTTAAATCAACTGTTAAAGTCTTTTTTTTTTTTTTTAATCTATATCTTAAAGGGGAAAATACGGATTAGGATGCTCACATCACTTTAAAATAATCCATTTAACTAATCTGGTTCTTTGCTTTGTAGAAGTTCCTCTGTACAGTCTCTGGCTGCCACAGTGACCCAGGTTCCCTTGCCTTCTCTCCTCACTTGTCTGGCACTCAGACAGCAGCGGGAGCTCGTTGTATCTTAGATTAAGTCGTGTACTCTTCCCTTCTTTGTCCCCTGCTTTCACTCATGAGAATGGCATTGCTGTAGGACAGCTAGTCTGCCTCATGCGGCTGATAATGCCATCTCCCACCCCCTCCTTATCACCAAGCAGAGGTTGAGTCTCTGATGCCCAGCTGCAGGTTGACCCAGTTCTCTCACTTCTGTGACTGTTTCTTTGCGTGTCTCAGCTGTTGTCCACCAGCAATACAATATCTGACTCCCTTCTGGCATCTTTTTATCTCAGATAATTTATTCATTTTATGAGTATTATTTTTAAACCCAGATTTGCTTGGGTCTAACCTCCTGTCCTGTCTAGACTCTATATTTATTGATAAATCCTGTAGCTGTAGATTGTCCCATGTGCAAAGTAGTCTTTTTTGTTTACTTTTTTTACTTTTTATTTTTTTACAAATTTGTATGGCTGTTAGCTTCCCCTTCTGCCAGGCTCTCCAGATCTTAGGCCCTTGAAAGTCTAGGTCCTGCCTGGTTCTTCCTTGCTTGCCCACTTAAGAAGTCTGACCTCTGTAACTTCCATTGAAGAACATTTTTACTTGTGACCCATGACCATTGCCAGCAGCCTTGTTCAGGTCTTTTTTTGAATTGTTTTTACCTCTTGCTGTTTGCCTCAGTTCTCTTCCTACTTCAAAACATTTAAAGAAGATCTTCACAGACTGATTTTCCAAAAATAGTTACTGGCATCTGTAATCCTACTTCATTGTAAAATCCCTCTGCCTGCTATACTAGGCTTGATTCTGGGGTCAGAGAACCACAGGACAGAGGATGTCAACACTTGTCTCAGTGTTACTGAGGTGTGTGTTTGTTTTTTTAACACCTCAGATCTTTGTGTATGGCTTTGCAAACACACATACACGCACACAGAAAGACACACACACATACACAAGGAAAGACAGACACACAGACACAGAAAAAGAGAGGAAGAAAGAAATGTTCTCATTTTTGCTGGCACAAGACCTTCTACCAGTTTAGACCAATAACCGTCTCACTTACATCAGAACCGTTTCCATCCTTCTCTCTCATGCTTCTAGCTTTCATGTTCTGAGTTCTCCTGTCACAAGGACCCCTGTTTTCTTTCTTAAGAATTTATGCTCTGTTAGTTCCTGTGGCCCTTAGTTGGAGTTATAGGATCCTGGGCCTGTCAGTTTGTTACTTCTTGCTTACTCTGCAGAATAAACAAATTCTGTTGTATTTGCTTTCCCCATTATGAGCAAAGGAAATGCAACTTTAGTTGTGTTGTGTAACAGCTCTGTGCCTCAGATGGGCAATAGTGTCCTTTCACCCCTGCATGGCAGCTACAGCTGCATCTGTAGTATCCAGCTGTATGTGCCCTACCATATAGGAAGCTCAATCTCTGAAGCTGCCAGCTGATAAACCTTGGGGGGGGTTTCAGGTGCAGGTAATCCCTTGGGTCTTGGCTGACAGCAACTTTGTCTGGAGCCCATCTCAGAGGCTGGATCCCAGCAGGACGGTGTTTGTTGGTGCCTTGCACGGGATGCTCAATGCTGAGGCTCTGGCTGCCATCTTGAATGACCTATTTGGTGGAGTGGTGTATGCTGGGATTGACACAGATAAGCACAAGTACCCCATTGGTGAGTGTCCTACTTCTGTGTGGGAAGGCTTGGTGCCCCTGGGAGTAGATTAAGATTGTAATACTTCTCCCTTGGGAGTGGAGAGAGACCTGACCCAGGTTTGCAGATCATCTTTTCCTCCAGAAGTTACCAATACTGGCCCATCTGCATCCTGCTTCTGCTCCTATTTCCCACACTGGGGAAAAGGGTGATTGTAGGATCTATGACACTATTGGTGAAAATGAGAAGTTTGTTAGAAATTCAAAGAAAACACAGCCAAACTAGTTTGGAACAAACTATAGGGAGCTGAGAACTTGCACAATTTCCTTCACTAAAAGTTCTTGCCAGGCATTGTGGCACATGCCTGTAGTGCCAGCACTTGGGAAACAGAGGCAGGTGAATCTCTTGAGTTCGAAGCTAGCCTGGTCTACATAGCAAGTCCCAGGCTAGTCCAGAGTACATTTGAGACCTTATCAGGAATGAAGGGAAGTGGGAAGAAGGGGAAGGAAAGAAAATTTGTTTGGTTTTACATCTTTGATGCTGTTTAGAGTCGGAGACAAGGTCAGGACAAAGGTGCTTCCTGGCTAACTCAAAAAATGGTACAGCCATTAAGCTGTTCTATCTGAAGGTCTATGCCCTGACCACTGAGTTTGATAAGCCTTTCTGAGAAAGATTAGTTCCAGACATGGTGCAGTGACCCCAGTGATTAGGTTTGGAAGTGGAACAGACCTGAACACTGATCAAGGCATGTATACTTAACCCACCTTCCCAGATGCCTGATCTACCCACCCACACTGAATCTGGTCAGGGAGTTGTTCTGTGTACTTGTCAGTGCTGTGCTGCAGATGGAGAACTAGGACTTGAGAGGCTGTAGGGCGGGGGCAGCACTTGGCAGGACAGGGGATTCTTCTGGCTCTCCTGCTAGTTCGTAGCTCTTTAAGGTACTTCTGGGCCAGGCAAGGTTTGATTGCTACTTTTGCCCATTAGAAAACAGTTTATTCTGCAGCTTGGTTTCCACCTGAACCCTTTCCTCTTCTCTGTGCATCCACCTGCACTGTAGGAAACCCCTACCTTTCCCTCTTTACTGAACGGTTTATACCAACATGTCGTAGGACCATACTGTCCAATGTAATAGCCACCAACAAAAGGTGGCTATTGAGTATTTGAAAATGCAGCTTTCCTCTGTGTTAAAATAATTTGAACACATAGGTAAAATATATTATTAAAATTACACTGTTTTCAATTTTGCTGTGGCAGCCACTAAATTAGATGGCACTTGTGTAGAAACAAGGTTTCTTGGATGTTGAAGAGAATTTGAACAGAAGGTATAAGCTTGTACCTGGTTTTCCTAGGGTCTGGTCGTGTGACTTTCAATAACCAACGTAGTTACCTGAAAGCAGTCAGTGCTGCTTTTGTGGAGATCAAAACCACCAAGTTTACCAAGAAGGTAAGTGTCTGGTTTGTGTCCTTACTTTGAGAGAGACTTGGGTCAGTTACAAAACAGCACAGTTCCAAGATAGGGGCAGTGAGCCCAACTGCAGAATTAACATAATTGAGGAATTGAGGTTGGGTTTCGTCTTTGGGGACTCAGGAGGAAGGGATTCAGACTGTTAGCAGCCCGAGTGTGGGCGGGCAGGTGGGTGGGGAGAAGTGCCCTCATTTGGTATTTGTCTGAAAATGCTAAGTGGCTTGACTTTATCAATTCTCTTACCTGAGTCCACCGAATACTTACCTGCTACTGATTGATAGATGGCCAGGGCTCATTTTTCTTAGAAGAGCAGCATGCAGTAAGGTCTGTGGTTGTCCGAATTCTAGAAGCAACCAGCTCTGTCTGTACAATATGAGCCCATAATCTAGGATCTATGTTAGGCCCTGGCCTAAAATTCTGTCTAGCCTCCTTTATAACAGACATGCTACATTCCTGTGTGCTCAGTAGTACACTCCTACAGTTCATCTGACCCTCAGAGTCATTTTACCTTCCTCTGTTTCTGTTCCTCAGGTTCAGATTGACCCCTATCTAGAAGATTCTCTGTGTCTTATCTGCAGTTCACAGCCTGGTCCTTTCTTCTGCCGAGATCAGGTGAGTCCCCTGGGCACTGTGAAGTCCCTACCACAACTTAAAAATGCGTTAAGGCGCATTTATGATATTGAGAATTAACTAGTTCTGAGGTACCTTGTGATGTCTGACAGCATAGAGACAGTAGTTAAGAGGGCCTTGTAGATAGATTGATGTATACCTCTAGGTGTGTAGGGAGTGCTTGTTGGATTTTTGGCGTTTCCCTTCCTGGGCTGCTGCTGTATAATATGGCATTGGTGATAGTAGGTGCTGTTTGTTTCATTTTGTTTTGGAAATGGTCTTACTGTTTATTCGTGGCTGGCCTGGGACTCATGTAACCAAGTTGACTTTGAACTTGCAGCACACCTCTTAGCCCGCTGCTCCTCCCAAAACACTGCTATTGCTGGTGTGTATTACCATACCAGATAGTGGGTGGTTTTGTAGACATTGGATAGTGGGGTACCTATGAATCAAGCACTACTGAGCTGTTTTCTAAGTTCAACAAGCGTGTCCGGCTTGTTAGCTCCAGGATTGCTGTGAATGCTGCCCAACCCAAAAATGTAAGCTTAATTAAAACTGAGATTTTTAGAGGTGTCTCTCCCCCTAACCTTGTGGCATGTTGGTTGATTCTGTTCTGGATTCTGTTCTGTTCTCCAATGTGAACCTTATGGCATGGTAGCATTGTGCTACCATGCCGGAAGGTTAGACACACCTTACCGGGATTGACTCTTTCCTACTTTATTGCTGAACTTCTAGACTACTTTGATATTTATTTCATTTGGTTTGGTTTGCTTGGTTGTTTTTGGGGTTTTGGAGACAAGGTTTGTTGTGTAGCCTTGGCTCTACTGGAACTTGCTTTGTAGACCAGGCTGGCCTCAAACTGAGCTTGCCTCTGCTTCCCAAGTGCTGGGATTAAAGGTAAGCCACCACCACCTAGCAACCACCTTGAACACACACACACATACACACACACATATCACACTAAAAATTTGTATTTGTATTCTTTTAGAACTTCATATGTGTACACAATACACAATATATTTTGATCATATTCAACCCTACTTCTAACTCCTTTCCATTCCCTGACTCCCTCCCAACTTCATCTTTTTGTTTTATTTTATTGCTGTTATTGTTTGGTTTAATTTTTTGAGACAGAATTTCACTTTGTCGACCTGGTTGTTCACTGGGTTGATCTTGTGTAGACACAGCCACTGAAATACATTTTCAACTTTCTGTGAGATGTTTCGGAACATTCCAGGCTCAAGCAATCCATCCATGCTTAGTTTGACTTAATGTGATGTTTGTTTGCATGTAGGTTGTTGGTAGACAGACAGAGGTTCCCAAGTAAGCTCACAGCTAAGTTTGGTTAGAAAACAATCTTTCTAAATCAGCTTTTATAGATCGGTATCTTTCACAGTGACTCTTCAACCTCACAATCTTTTTTGTTTTTGTTTTTTATTGTTTTTCAAGACAGTTTCTTTGTATAACAGCCCTGGCTGTACTTGGCTTGCTTTGTAGATCAGGCTTGCTTTGTAGATCCACCTGCCCCTGCCTCCCTGAGGGCTGGGATTAAAGGCATGCACCACCATGCCTGGCTTCAACTTCACGTTCTTGCTCGGAGGTTAAGACTTACTTGGGGTTACACAGGTAGCAAATTCAGTCACTTCTCACCGAGGGACAAAGGCGTGTCTCCTAGTACTTAAATCTGTAGCCAGCTCTTCAAACATGCTCTCACGTTGGCAGCCATGAGATTCAGCTGCTCTGCAGATGAGGAGGACGGAAAATCATGGAGTCTACTGTGTTTGCCTAAGGAACAGGGCTGCATTTATTTGCTTTGGTCAGTCAAAGCTCTGTTGGGGTGAGCGGGCTAGCAGGAAGGATCTCTTTTACCTCCACGGAAACCAAAGGGGCTTTCATTTCCTCTTAAAATGGAACCTTTATACCTGGTGCTAACACATTGTTCTCTTTTTGTTCCCCTAACCTAGGTCTGCTTCAAGTACTTTTGCCGAAGCTGCTGGCACTGGCGACACAGCATGGAAGGCCTGCGCCACCACAGCCCCCTAATGAGGAACCAGAAGAACTGAGATTCCAGCTAGAGAAGCTGGCCTTGCCCAGTGGTCTGTGGCGCCCAAGGCTGGCAAGTCAGGTAGCAGCCTGTACCCTGCACTGGCGCCAAAGGAGCTAGCTTTCTGCAGACAAGGGAAAATTTTAGTCACCTTTGTACTTGCTAAATATGTCTTTGTTTCTGCACTAATTAATGCACAATGAGTTTTGTCAGGTTTTGTTTTCAGGGGGGGTGTGCCAGAGCAAGGACCCTCAGGCTCACCCTCAAGCAATTGTAGTTTTCCCAGATTCTAATTCCTGATTTTGCAAATGAAAAGAAAACAACAACAAAAAACTATGTGTCCAGAAGGTATTGGCACAGATGTGTACCTTTAGGTTTATTTATTAAAATGCTTTTTACATTCCTTGCAATACTGACGGTGGTGATGCGCAGGACTCATTGGTTCATTCTTGCAGTTGCCATACAGTGCCTTTCCATTTATTTAATCCCCACCTGAACGGCATAAACTGAGTGTTCAGCTGGTGTTTTTTACTGTAAACAAACAAGGAGACTTTGCTCTTCATTTAAACCAAATCATATTTCATAGTTTACGCTCGAGGGTTTTTACTGGTTCCTTTTTACACTCCTTAAAACAGTTTTTAAGTCGTTTGGAACAATAGATTTTTTTTTCCTGGCAGCTTTTAACATTATAGCAAATTTGTGTCTGGGGGACTGCTGGTCACAGTTGCAAATCAAAGCATTTGTAACCAAGAGAAAAATTATTTTATTTAAAACTGGACCGGAGGAAAAAAAATTACGTCTGAGCAGCTGCTGTATATAGTTTAAAATGGTTTGTCGCGCCTTCTTACGTTGCACTTACGTGGGGGGAGGGTTGATAGGAGTTTTTAATCACAGTCACAGGACTTTTTCTTTTGTAACTGAGCTTAAAAATTAAAAAAAAAAAAAAAAAAAAGGGCTGCTTTTTGGTGGGGGCAGGTGAAGGCTCACAGGAGCCCTTTCTCTTAGAGGGGCAAGTACCCTTCTTATGTCTTTTATTTGAAGAATGTATGAATCAACAGTTACAGTTGACAAGAATGCTACTGGAATTTGAAAACTTGACTCTTCTTTTTCTTTTTAATTTAATTACTACTTGCCCCTCTTAGGGAAGCTGTGTGCCAAAGAACCAGTGTCATAACCCCCTCCTCCCTCCTGCTGAGCTGATGTTGCATTGTTGCATATCCCAGCTACTCTGTGGGTTTTGTGAAGCTGTGTGTGAAGTCTCTACCTCATTGTTGTATATGCAGGCAAGACTGCACTCTCCTACAGGTGTGTGGAGTAAGCTGTGGTGTACTTTTTTTGGCACATAATAAACACGTTGCAGCAAAGTTACGGTTTTGTCTTTGTGTCCAGGGTTTGTGGTAGCAAGCAGGTAAGAAGATTCCAGAAACAAGCCCTCTGTTCTTGGATTCTCTGTAGTGGGATTTCAGCCCAAAGGGTTGGTGTGTGCATGTGGAGACCTGCTCCTACGCGGGACTTGGTATATTCTGGTCAGCCATTCTGGAGATATCTCTCCAGTGGCTGGGTGGTTAAAATCAAAATAAGAAACCTATACATTTCATTTGCTTGGCCCCTCAAAGCCTCCAGATGCAGCCCCTAGAATGCCAGAGGCATAACTGCCAAGGTGTCAGGACCCATCTGCTTCCCTGTGAGCCCTGGCATCTTGGACTCACTTGAACTGACGTAATTTCTTTCTGAGTGGGTGCTACTTGGCTTTTTCTGATTCAGGTTTGTTCCTTGTGCCCCTGTTCTGGAACTCCTTATATAAACCAGCCTGGTCTCAAACTCAAAAAATCTGCCTGTGAGGCAGGCATCCCAAGTGCTAGTATTTTTGATTTCTCTCTTTCTCTCCTTCCTTCCTTCCTTCCTTCCTTCCTTCCTTCCTTCCTTCCTTCCTTCCTTTTTCCTTCCTTTCTTTTCTTTCTTTCTCTTGTTAGCCTTTTATCATTTTTAATTATTATTTTTAATTGAAGGTCCCTTACTGCTCCTGCTTCCACAAGTGGACAAGGTCAAAGGAAAGGGGGAACAACCAGTTGGTGCAGGGAAGGTCATTTCCACATTTCATTTACACATAGAACTAAACAGACAAGCACAGAGTCACTAATTGTGATTAGAAGTTGGCAGCATGGGATGGGGAGGGATGAGGAGTAGGGGTGTTGTCATTAAAAAAAATACAGGCTCCTCCCAAATCGGGTGCCTGGGATGGGACTTAATTTACTTCAACCCAAGAGGAATCAGATCAAAGCAGTTTGGGAAGGCCAGAACAGTCAGGGATGGAGAGGACAGGTCAGGGAGTGGGAGGGACATTTGGCAACTGGGGTAAAGGGATTGCCCTTTCCCTGCTAGGATCCTCCAGCTCCTCAGGTCTGGCAGGAAAGGGGCAGCCTGCAACATCCAAGAGCAGGTCTGGGGCTGCTAAATGGTCCAGGCAGGGGCCTGGAGGCAGCTCACAGAGGCTTGCTCTCCAGGGAGATGACTGTGCTGCCACCTAGCTTTTCTGCCAGGGTGCAGTGGTCCTTGACTTCCTCATAGCAGTTGGATTGCAATTCATGCTTGGTTCCTGTCACCTTCTTCTTGATGACATCCTTGGAGCTGGCATAGATAATTTTGTTCTTAAGGGGTACACTCTCGGGCTCAGAAGATGAACACCAGGTCCTCCTTGCTCCTCCTTGGTTTCTTGCATCATAGAGAGCATAGTTGCAGTCCTTGTCTAGTAGCATCTTGACAAAATTGGTGTAGGTGTTGTCTGCAGTAGGCCCCACATCTACTATGATCTACTTGCCCTTCTCCAGGATGATGAAGAGAGCACTGCCTTCTTGCATTGCCAGCATTGAGGACTTACAAACTTTCATGACACCGTCAGAGATGGCCACACCAGAACCCATGTTTCTGGAGGTAAAAGGGAGACAGAACTACAGAAGAACTGAGCCCTGCAGCAGCTGCTGGGATCTGATTCACTTGCTTTTCTTGACCACCCTTTTACAGTAGAGTTTTTGTCACAGGCTCCAAGGCTTTATGACAGATCTGATATTTTTCAGAGAAGTTTTGAGCTAGGCTGCTGAACTGATTCTTTGGGAAACTCTAGTCTGAGGTGGAGGGACTCCTAGGTGCTAAAGCGTCCCTCCTGTAAGTTGTAAAAACTCACTACTGGTTGGGATCAAGAGTTTCCTTCCAGCAGGACTGGAAGGCCGAGTCTTCCACCTGGAGCCTGGTAGCCACTTCATTGGAGATTCTCTGGTAAAAGTCAGCTTTTGTAACCCCCAGGGTATACTTGAAGGTCTGATCTCTTCAGTTGTCTTCCTCTTCCATAGTTAATGACTTCTCTTCCTCCGTCCATTGAGCTACTTGCAGAGTAAGGGCTTTCTGTGCGATCAGTTCAAAGTCTGAGCAGAGTGACTTAGATGAGTTAAAAGGTGAGGAACAGCCTCGGCCCCTTGATACATCCACTGTTCCTGACAGTCTCCTTAAGTTAGGCTTGACCCCAGAACCCCATGCCCGGGAACAGCCTTTCCTAGGCTGATGAGCGTACTGGCCTGTGGCTTAAGAGCCTGCTTTGGGCCTGGGTATGGCAGACATCTGCAAGAAGCTGAAGGTTGGAGGTAGTGTCTTCACTGGTTGGGAGTAGTGTAGCAACCAGAGATCTTAATTTATATGTTTGAGAGCTTTCCATGAGCTAGCCGCTGTGTTAAGCACTGAAGGTTAGCTCTTCCTGTTTAGCTCATCCCTGGTTGAGAAAATAGAAAGGTCACATGACGTGTTAATACTGTACTGGAAGGTGAGGAAAAGCCCCTCTGGTTAGGTGATGTTTGCCTCAACACCGGGAACTGAGGAGTCTCTTCAATTACGCTAGCCCCTACAAAGCTCTGACCTGAGCCACGAGTGGGGTGGAGGTCGGGGAATGACTCCCTCTACTACTACACCTTTCATAGCGCGGGCTTCCTGTTTGCCCTATCTTAAGGCCTCAAAGCCCCTCCTAGGTGAAAGCACCTCGAATGTGCTGAGAAGCCTACCAAGCAGAAAAGTGTGTGGTGAGGAAACAGACGGCGCACGCGCAGGCCTTTGCCCCGCCCCACCGCCACACACTGCTACTCCAGGCCGCCAGGGGCCGCTGGGGTGCTCTAAAGGCTTGCTGCGCGCAGTCCCAGCCGGGAGGAAGCGGCTCTCTGGCCTGCGCTTTATAGGCCTCTCTTGTGCTTCCTGTTTCCTCTTTTACCGAGACCCGCCAACATGGTAGGTGGTTGGCTCCGAAGGCTCTCTCCTTTTCAATCCGTGCCCATCCTTCGCTTGTCGCTGCCCGCAGCTTGCAGCGGGCGGCTGTCGGTCGGGCCGGCGCCGCGTCGGTCGGCCTGGCGTCCGTCCGCCGGAGGTTTTGCGCGCTCCGGCCCTTCTGCGAGCCCCGCGCTCGCCGGGGCGGACGGCGCCTGCTTCCGCCGCAGGAGGCACAGGCTCGCCGGTGACTTTGCCCTCTCCACCTTCAGGGCCGCGTTCGCACCAAGACTGTGAAGAAGGCGGCCCGGGTCATCATCGAGAAGTACTACACGCGCCTGGGTAATGACTTCCACACCAACAAGCGCGTGTGCGAGGAGATCGCCATTATCCCCAGCAAGAAACTCCGCAACAAGATAGCCGGGTGAGTGAGTGCAGGCCTCGCGCGCTGCCTGGGGCAGCTGTCCCGGTCGGAGGAGCCTGCCTTGGCCGGTTCCTTGGCTCGAGGTTTCCAAAGTGCACCGGAGAAGAGCTGGGGCGGGGGGGTTTCACAGTAGTTTTTGCCGAGATGACCCTAGTTCTTAGGACGGGTTATTAACGGTAGCTGAAGGCAGAGTTCCGGCCTCAAAACCCGATTGCTCCGTATCTGCGTTTAATCTTTATCGCTGTGGCCATGTTGCAGTAAAAATTGACGGTGTTGAGTCCAGTCAAGGTACAGGTGCTAAAGGGTGATGCTTGGAAGAGGGTTGATAGTCTGTAAGGAGTGTTAGGGATGTAGGGGGTAGATGTGGGTGTGGTGTGTACGTGTAAGAGACTCCGATGGGGAATTCGACCTTAACGTACAAATGAGGTAGTTTTATGTCTAGATGTTCTGGGTACCAGAGGGAAGGGGTCACTGGTCTTCCTGGCTTGTGTGCTTGTAGCTATGTCACGCATCTGATGAAGCGGATTCAGAGAGGTCCTGTGAGAGGTATCTCTATCAAGTTGCAGGAAGAAGAGAGAGAGAGAAGAGATAACTATGTTCCCGAGGTAAACTTTGTGGGTCTTACTGCTCAGGTAGTAAGGTGGGGCTCATTTGCGGTGAGAGCGCTCAGCTCAAGTCTTGGCTGATTACTTACCTCTGCCTCTTCAGTGCTGGGATTAAAGGCAAGGGCCAACGACCCCAGCTGGATTTAACGAGCTGCAGGTGCCTGTAATTTGCCTACCTATTTGTTAGCTTTTCTGCCACATCGAGGTCAGTTTGCCTTTTTTCCCACGTGGGAGCCTAGTGAGAGTGGCTCTTAACTGGATTGCTTGAACATAAAAGTGTGACACCCCACCCCCACCTTAGGGCTATCTGGATACCCACTAGATGATTCTGGCATAAGAATAAGGTAGTAGCACTGGGGTGGGGCCAGGGCTTAAAAAAAAAAAAGAAAGCCTGTCTTGAAACAAACAAAAGTAAATGAATAGGTAAAGCGTCCTGGGTGCAATGGTGCACTTAATCTCACTCAGTACATGGAAGGCAGAGGCATGTGGATCTCTTGCGATTGAGGCCAGCCTGGCTTATGTAGAGAAACCCTGTCACTAATAAAACAGGTCTTAGGTCCTGCATTGCAGACTTTGCTTAATTCCGTGGCATCATAACATACATGTAAAAATCTGGTAGTACGTATCTTTAATCCCAGCACGCTGTGGGGGAGGGTTGCCAGGCAGATCTCTGAGGTCAGCTACTGAGGCCTGATCTTGAATGGGAACAGAGGTGGAAGATGGCTCGTCATAATTGGGGACTTGATACTTTCCTTTCTAGGTCTCAGCTCTAGATCAGGAGATTATTGAGGTAGATCCTGACACCAAGGAAATGCTGAAGCTTCTGGTGAGTATTGGCTGACTTCCTAAAGTAAAGCTGGTTTTAAAATGTCTGTGACTGCTTGTTCTGTGGGTGTTGAAATGGCTTTCACAAGATTCTCAGGATTCTGGGGCTGGCTCCTAGGTTGTGGTTCCCCTCCTTCAGTTCTGGCTCTAGTAGCTGCTTACCATGGAGACCATCTTGAATTCTAACTTCAGAAATGCTCTGTTGTGTCATTTCTAGAAGAGTCAAGGGTTCTTAATACAGTTCATAAGTATGTGAAGGTAACGTGGGCTTC